GGCTGCATGTCAAAGTGTTGCTCGATAATATTAACCTGAGTGAAAGAGGTCAAGAGAATCTACTATAAGGATGTATGACCTATTCAAGGTTATTTGTTAGAGCATTGTTGGGTGATATTAACATGTGTGGAAGAGGTCTGATCGAATTCCCCTAAGATTGATCATCTATTGATTGAGATATAATAAAAATTATGTATTTCTCAAATCAAAGATTTTTAAGATTTGATTGACATTCTCCTAGGATGTTTGACCTATCCGAGGTTATTTATCAAATCATTGCTCAATGACGTTAACCTATGTGGAAAAGGTCGAATTGAATCCCCTTGGGATTGATTATGTCTTGACTAAGAGAGGGTGAATGTCATGTGTATCCTGAATTAAAGATAAAGTATATTCTGTCTTTAGACCGTTATTGCTTATTTGAGGTTAAGATTAAGACCTTGCATAAGGAGTAAAAGTCCAGCTATGGAATATATAAATCTTATAATTTATTTGAAGCATCATTGTATTTGTTGAGAGTCTCTTCAAATATTATCTTGGATGTTGAAAGTATTGGATCAATTATCTTGGCCATAGTTGCAATCAAGATTATTCCCTAATTTGTATCTGATTCTCATAAAGTTGACGCATTAATGGCTGATGTCAGGATATTGACATAAATGATCTTTTAAGGTTGGATCAAAAATTTTCTCATAGTTAAGAATGATGTTCCCACAAACGACAATAAATTGTTGTGTCCTAGAAAATTCGCGACAATAGAGAAATATAAAAGAGAGGGTGACAAGATAGGTATTATGTGGAAATCCCTAAAAAGAGAACAACCTAAGTGGCCTGGCCTAGTTTGAATGAATCCACTAGTGTTTGTAGTCAATTATAATGAAGCCCTTCTATAGGGGGAAGACCTTAGTTTGATTTAGCAAATATACATCATATTGAGTGCATTACATGGTGGGAATTAGAAACATGAGTATTGACATATTTGTTTAGTCGACAAAATCATAGTTGGATGGCGATAGAGGTCAGAAAGATAGTTGGATGGCGATAGAGGTTGGAAAGATAGTAGTCGGGTGACGGTGGTCAGAAGGATAATATTCAGCGGGGGATGAAGGTTAAAAGGACCGTTGTTATGAGATGAAGGTCGGGAGGACCAAATTTGGCTTTTGATGAAGGTTAGAAAGGCAGTTATTTTGCGATGGAGGTCGAAAGGATCATAGTAAGTGGGTGACAAAGGTCGGAAAGACCATAGTCTGATGACAGAGGTTAGAAGGGTAGTAGTCTAGCAATGTATGTAGGAAGGACCATATTTTGAGGGTGATATTGGTTAGAAAGATTGTTGTCTGGCGACGAAGGTCGCAACGACTGTAGTTAGCAAGTGATGATAGTAAAAAAAAATCATTATTTGGCGGCTGAGGTCGAAAGGATCGTAATCAGCGGGCGACAGTGGTCAAAAAGACCTTCGACGGGCGGCGGAGGATGTAAAGATCTTTTTCAGCGATACTTGTTGGGAGGAAGTCCGACGATAATTTTTGGCCGGATGTAAATCCAACAATAATTGGAAGTTGGGAAGAAGTCCGACGATCATTGGTGGCCATGCATAAATCTGGAAATAGTTGTTGGCTAGGCTGAAGTCCGATGATGGTTGGTGGTTCGACAGTAGTCGAAGAGTCTAGTGACAAGAGAACTCTAGTTTTTATTTTTTCCTTCTCTTCCATTATGCCCCCCCCCCAAAGATAAATGAGGGGTCTATTTATAATTTTTTTGGAGTGGAATGCTAGTAAATAGAAGTGAGATCAAGGGTATGTTGGGAGTGGTTTGAATGAAAGCGGATATTGATCCCCTTGATCGTGGACCGTTTATTGGGCATTTAAATTCCTTAATGACATCAAATATCAATGAGCTTGGGCTCGTTGGATTTTTTCTCGTCAAGCCGCTGGATTTAACTATAAGTATGTCATGCTTGGAAACGTTTTGGTCAACCAATTTATAGTTTGAATCTTTTAAATGTACTTCAGGTCTTCGATTTAGTCCCATTTGGGCTCGGATTGAGTCAAATTTGGTTTCGTTGGGTTCATATTTTTGAGATGTTCATTTCAACTGAAAGTTTGCTGAAATTAGAGTTCGGATGATCCCAACTTTAGTTTCAGAAGTTTTCAACTTGATTTTGCCTCGAGATTCATGTCTGGTCATGATTCCTTTTTGATGATATATCAGTAAGTATAATGAATTAAAAAAAAGAAAATAAAAACATAAATAATTTCTAATGATTTAAAAAAACTAACCAAAATTTTTTTGAACTTATTCAAAATCATAATTAAGAAAAAAGGAGGGAGACCATCTTTATGGTCATACAAAGAGTAGTTTGGATGGGATCATAACTTGATAAAAATGACTATACTGTATTATATCATTATAAAAATCATAAAAATTTCACTTAAACACCAAAAATTAATAAAGTTGGAGGAGCCCTTTTTTAAAGGCCAATAAATGTAATGGATACTATAAGTCATTGTTTTGAGTCCCTAGCTTAGTGAAATTTATAAATAAGTTTACATATTAAAATAAGTATTAACTATTTTACAAAATCTAGGAATCTTTTTTGGAGGGCTTCAAATTTTTAAGACTTTTAAATTTTTTCGGGCTCTTTACTTATTTATGTTTTTTTTCTTATTGAGATTGCGAAGATTTTGCTAGATTATTTCTCCTTCATTCTCTATTTTCTACTCTTATCCACTTCTCATTCTCACTATCATATTCTTCACTATCATATTCTCAATCTCACTAGGTGAATTAATTAGTAAAATCTCATATCATCCAACGAATAAATTTGGATTCAATAAGGGTGAAGAGCTTAAAATCATAGTTTGAACTTGGCAAACCCCACAAAAAGTTCAAATTGTCTTAAGGTCTTTAAACTTCAAATGTTCATAGAATAACATGTAAGGATCTAAACAAGTATGAACTTAAAACAGTGATTTCTATGTATGCAATCCAAGGAAAATGCTCTATTAAATCTACTTAATGAGATGTTTTAAAATCTCCCAACAAATTTGATTAATTTCTTAAATCAATAAGACATAAAATTAAGGCTTCATTTAAGACAGTTTTTGGCCACTTTTTTTTATTATTTAAAACAAAATTATACTAAAAATTTGCTTTGAAAAGTAGTAAGAAAGCTATTCCAAATGAAGCCTAAATTTGCCCTGTTGTTACGTTAGTAGAATAATAGGAGGAAAATGGCCCACACTTTAAAGAAAGTCACTTATTTCAAATACTAAGAAGAGCTATCAAAAACCATGAAAATTGAATATAATATAATGAGTTGTACAGTGTATCCTAAGATCCAAAACCTTAGCCTTTACATCAAATCATCATCAAAATTGTAATTCTTTAAAGTTAGCTATCAAATGCTTCGTTTGGGGCAGCTTTAGACAGCTATTTTTTCCTACTTTTAAGATATTTTTGTATTAAAAAACATCTTTACAAAGCAATAAGAAAGGCATCCCAAACAATCAAAAGATGCCTAAGTTTCCTTGTTATTGTTTTTAAACCAATTCTTAAATTGAAAATACAATAGATGTATTTAGCACTCATTTTGAATTTATATGTTCTTCAGAATGCATTCTAATATTTTCATGCCTAATTGCTTTTCATCTTTACCATTTTTTTGGCTAATCACTTTAATATAATAGTATTGTTTGAATAGCTATTATATTGGTATCCCCCAATTTGCCCCAACAAAAAAAAAAAACTCCTTCACTTGGTTAATACAACACACTATAAGCCAAAGGTTTGTTCATTTGAAAGTTTCAAGCCAACTAAGCTTATTTTTAACAGTATTGCTCTTTTATATTTGATATTTTTTTGTTCTAATTTGAGCCAAGCATCATATGCAGGTGCTTTTATAAAACAAGAATTTCTTTCAATTAATTTGGTTCATCATTTTAAAATGCAATCATTTCACAAAGTTAAGTACATATAATATCGTATCATTATAGTATGTATTGTAACAATGTCAAAAACAAGTTCTCTTGCATTCAGCTTTTATTATTGGCTATGCGAGATGCTTTCGATAGCCTGTGTAAAGACTGAGTGGGATTGACCGATTGAGTAGCTTAACTAATTAGAGTTGGCTCTTTGTTTAGGTGAAGGCAAGTGGTTGGATATTGAATAGTGAAAAAGACCTATTGAACCTTCAAAAAAACCAATTGAGAGTGCTGGTTTTATTTCCAATGCTTCATTTGGGATGATTTATTTATCATTATTATTATTATTATTATTATTATTATTATTATTTTTAATTGTTCTACAAAACTACTATAGAAAGCAATAAAAAATTGTACCATATAAAGCCCTACTTTGAAGTAGTGGTGGAGGAATCCCAAGTAGAAATTGGAGTGTGACTTTAAGCCAATTTAGGTAGAATTAGGCTTCGTTTGGGACGACTTTTTTACTGCAGCTTTCTAGTACAAAAATTTTAATTTTTATACTAAAAAGCAGCTACAAGAAACAGTAAATAAACCATCCCAAACGAAGCCTTAGGCTTTGTTTGGAACGGCTTTCTTACTGCTTCTTAAAGTAGCTTTTTAATACAAAAATTAAAATATTTGTATTAAAAAACTGCTTTAAGAATAAGTACGAAAGCCATCCCAAACGAAATCTTATTTAAAATTGCTTATGTAATATCTCATTCCACTCACTCTAATTTCATCCTCAATTATAATCATAAACTACTACAACATACACCTAAAAACGGTTTGCAAATATTTCTCATCAATATATAGTGTATTGACTACTTCATAATAGTCTAAATTTCTTAAAAATATAGATTTATAACATTTATAACATATGTTGTATTGACTCAACATATTCTCATATGATGTTCCTTAAAACACATATGTTATGTTATAACAGTACTAAATTTAACTTAGAACCAGATAAGCAAGAAGACAAAGTCCACATTACATTACTTTCTAATTTGGCTACCACTAAACTTTAAAAAATGGACAATAATAAACTCTAATATTGCAAAGGTTTACTGCAAGTTTGAAACAACTTTATTATAAATCTACTATGTACAGACCTAAAAGAATAACCCAATTTGAGGTTATATTCTAAGAATGGTAAGAAGCCATGTACAAGTATAATCATCGCAGTTAACGAACCTCATAAGGTTATTCTGCTTGGATTAGCAAAGCCAACTACAAGTGCAAGTTTAAACCTGGTGTTCTTACCAGGGACAGAATCTGAGTCTTAATGATGCCCATAAGCTCCTCAATATCCCTATAGATATGAAGGTTTTGAGGGAATTGGGGCTGCAGGTCCTTCGCTGCTTGTTCAAGTATTTCCATGGCTTCAGCAGGCGGTAATCCTGTGTCGCTACATGCCTGCAGTTGAGAGAACATCAGGATTGAGAGATAAAACCACAATAACACATGCACATATCAATAATATTTGAATCTAAAGGTCTGTTTGCTTTAGAGGTGAGAGGATTGTTTTTATTAAATCTACATTATTTTCTATTACTTCATTTTCTTCTAGATTTCCAATTGGATCATCAGCAAAATAAGCTGCATTAGAAGAAAAAAAAAATTGTGGAACAAAAATGATGAAGGTAGGGTCTCCCATATCCAACAACAACAACAAAAACAAGCCTTTGTCCCACTACGTGGGGTCAGCTAATGAATCCTATTTTGTCATTGTGTCCTGTTAAAAGTCAAATTATTATTTAAATCTAATAAATAAAGATCATTTATAATATTTTCTAACCAAATCTTTTTAGGTCTACCTTTACCTTTCTTAACATAAGTCAAATCTAATACCTCAACTTTCCTAACCGGGTCATCGGAAGGCCTCCGTTTAATGTGACCAAACCATCTAAGGTGACTCTCTCTAATCTAATCTTCCTTTGGAGCTATTCCAACCTTTTCACGTATATGCTCATTTTGAATCCTATCTCTAAGGGTAAAGGTCTCCCCCATATCCGTGTGAAGAATATGTAGATTCAAAAAATTGGTGGACTTGACATTTTAGATCTCTGTATAATAAATATTTCTCTTATTGTTAAATGGATCTGAAAAATCTATTCATGTGAATTCTAAATCCTTATCAAGTTACAACATACAAAACAAAATATTTAGCATACTTTTTCACATCTTCATTTCCTGCACTCGACTTAATATCAATACCTGTTGCTGCTCAACACTCAGATCTATAACAATGCCGGTCTATCTATGTGGACAATAGATAAGGAGACTGTTTCATATCTCACATGAGTTAGAGAATTATATATGACAGCATGTTTTTTGCTTCATTCCTCTTCATATAGTCAATAGCTTAACATGAAAATTTGTATAATAAAAGCGAATTTGCTAGCAAACTACTACGGAACATTAAACTAGCATACATAGAGAACAATTATTTTGTTTCACTAATGCATTACAACATACCTGAATCATTAGCAGAGCAGCAACACAGGCTGAAATCATCTTTGGAGAACTTTGGGAGTCATTCAAGGTGAATGCTGGCACTGTTGAATTAATGGAATGGGCTATTGATGCTACCACCGCAGGGTTGCATGATAAATCTTGATGATAGTTTCCTGGACCCCCATTTTGTAGATAAGAACAAGATTGCAATCTTGATATTCTGGTATGAGCTCCAACCTGCTGAATTCCTGCTGGATTTAAGGCTTTTCCAATCATTGCATAAGCATCATCTCCTACTTTCGTTGAGGACAGTACCTGCAAAAGGAAACATGCATAACAATACCAGGACAACTTCAGCAAAGTTACAGAACACTCACAAGCTTCGACATGAAGGAATTGAAAAAATATTGTGCGCCAAGTTACTGATCGTGTCAATACTACAGAAAGTGGGTACTATAATCAAAGATATTGGATAAAACCACTGCATCATAAGTGAACCAACATAAATGAATATAGCAATGGCATGCAAGAACCTTCAAATGAAATCTTTCAACAATTTTGAGAACAATACAGATTTCAAGGACACTGGTTTCTTGGACCTCACCTTTATAGCTGCATCAACCATTCTAGTTGCTTCCAATTTGGAACTCTGCACTATTTCTCTCACACGGTAGCCTGGACTTTGATCTCTAGACGTACCGGTATTAAAGGAGCTAGAGCATCCCTTATAGTTTAGTGACTCTTCCACACTTCTATCGAAAAGGCTCTTGGTATTTGAGGAGCTAGGATATCCGTCGGACTTCTGTGGTGTTTCCATGCATGCCAAAGGTCTAGGTTGAGAGTTTTCATGGGAAGTGCTGCAAAGCTCCAGTTCGCAACATGCAGAGGAAGCCTGTAAATTAAAAGTCATAATAGTTCTATATAATAAATAAGTATCAACAATATGAGAATCAGCTTTTTCTTATATGGAACCATACAGGTAACCTCACCTTATCATGGAAAACAGACTCTACTGAGACAAACACCGGATGCGGTTCCTTAAAACATTCAGAGTCCCTTTTCAAATCTATACCATATTTTTCCACAATGGTTTCAACAATTCTCTCTTCATGTTCAGGCGTAAATGCGTCCTGCAGAATCTTTAAAAAGAAAGATTTACGACAAAATACAATTCTGTTTAGGTAAAGATTTGTCAATATTACGTCCCTAGCTAAAATCTTTCTATGAAATCAACAGAAAAGAGGTACAGCATCATGGTCGAAGTGATTTGAATTTATGCAGAAAACCATTATCAAGAAAATTACAGAAATAATAAGAAAAATAAAAGGTATTTGCAAGCACACGCAAAATATACTTTTCTTATTTTTTCTTATACTTCTTTTTTTATTTATTTTTAAGAGAAAGAATCTTAAATTGGTGTTTTCTCTTCTTTTAGTGAGAGAATGAGATTTCTCTCTCAATTCAGAGAAAGTAAAGGGTAGTGAGACAGAATTCTCTCTATTTAGGCTTCGTTTGTTTTTTTGGTGCTTTTGTAAAAGACAGTTTTAAAAAACATTAGTTCAAAAAATGGAGTTTTCTAACGGAGAAGCATATATAAAAAGATTTCTCAAAACTGCAGAAAAATGAAAAAAAGGAGTTATTGGGAATGTGATTTGACGAACCAAACGACAACAAAAAAAAAATTCCTTCGTTTTCAAAAACTGAAAAGGCAAAAAAACGCTCAAACAAACAAAGCCTTAAAGAGACAAAATGCATGAAAGCGCTTTGTAGCGAGAGAAAATAGGTGGAAAAAATAGAGATTTCTCCTTGTATTTAGAAAGAGAAATAGAAAGAGGTTGATAGAGATTATTTCGTGGAGTTCTCTCGCTATTTAGAGAAAGAAAATAAAGATAGAAATTAGAGAGAAAATAAAGAGAGATGAGGGATAGTGAAGTGGATGAAGAGGATAGATAGGGAAGAAGAAGATGAAGAGAAGAAGAAGAAGAGAAGAGGAAGATGAAAAGGAAGAGGGAAAGAGAGAGCGAGACAGGAAGGAGGAGGACCAGTAGGAGAAGGCCGGGTGGTCAGCTCGACTGGCGGCAGCGAGCTGTCGTGTGCGACGTCTAGTGGCTATGTGGGATAAGCGTATGAGCGCGTAGCGGCGTGTGCAGGCGGAACATCGGACGGTCGAGTTGGGCTAGTGGCAGCCACCGGAGTGACCGGAGGGCCGGCTGGGGGTCGCGTTTTCGGCGCTCGAGTTTGCGAGGGTTTTTTTGTTAGAGAGGAAATCTCATGAGTTTAGGGTTTAGGATTAGCCTTTTCGTTTTTATTTTGATTTTTTTTTTCATTTTCTTATGATTATTAAAATTGAAAAAAAAAGAGATAAAAAGGATAGACGTGTCCTTCTTGCTGGTGAAGAGGCAGACTTTTGTTCATTGAATATTCCAACATTTTAAATTTTTAAAATTTTCAACTAATTTAATATTATTTAAATAAAACTAAATTACAAATATTAAATTCAAATTTAATTTAATTTTTTAATAAAAATAATGAATAAATATTAATTTAAATTCATATTGACTCGCTCATTAAGTTTTCAAATCTTGCTCATGTCAAATTTCATCTCATTTTAGAGAGAGTCAATGCATCTGTCTTAGACAAGAAAGTAACGAGAATGCGCCCATGCGAGTTGACTAACTAAGAAATGGATGACAAAGTTAAAACAATGCCGGAGAAAAAATACACATTAGGCATAGATATTTAGACAGTTTCAGCTATCGAAAGCAAATTTCAAGAAAAACTAGGCTATCATGTGAAAAGTTATTAAGGATTACCTTTGTACTAGGAGCACAAGACAACTTAGTCACATCTTCAAAATTTGATCTCCCTGTTTGAAAGCCTTCCAATGTAGAAGGTTGGGTGCGCATTGAACTTTGACAATCAATGCATTCATTTTCAACTCCATCGGCCTTTTGATCAGCATTGGTTGCAACCTCATGTGACTCCTGTCAAAGATGAATTCAGATATCAACTGCATCTAATACTTAACTAAGGCTTCGTTTGGGATGACTTTCTTACTGCTTCTTAAAGCAGCTTTCTAGTATAAAATTAAATTTTTGATACTAAAAAACTGCTATAAGAAGCAGTAAAAAAGTCATCCCAAACGAAGCCTAAGAGTCAAATGTAATTAAAGAAGTCTAACTTAACAGAGTCCAAACTCAAAGAATATAAGATAGATCCTAGATAGTTAACAAAAGCTGAAAGCATTAAGAAAAAAAAAAAGAAGGAATTCATAAAAGTTAGGCATGAAATACCTTGGCAACTTGAAATCCAGTCATAAGTGAATTGGTAGTGACATTATTATTTGAAATCTGTAAAAGGTAAATGGAAAGATTAAATAATCACAAAACAGTTCACAAGATAAACTCAATTGTTTGGAAAAAAATTGCTTTCAATCAGACTAACTGTACCAATTCCTCATCCTTCTTCATCAATTCCTCATTGAAATTCTGTTTCTCATCAATAGATGTACAAATTAACTGATTTGCTTCAGGGAGAACATTTGCGTTGAGGGGAACTTTATCTGACTGCAAATCAATAACAGAAGCAGCTTCTGATGTGGATCCCTCCCCTACATTTCTTTCAGCATTGACTTGGGAGGAATGACTTTTGCTGTTAGTTGATAATGGTTCATGCTCATTATAGCTTTGCCTAGATTCCCCTTCTTGTTTTTTGACATTATCATCGAAGATTGGCTCTAGAAAGGAGAGAAAATAAATAAAATTACTAGAGTACAGACAAAAAAAAGAAGACAAAGATGTCTAGGTTGTCGAATGTCTACTTTTACCTCATTAGACAAAACTATGTCTACTTTTACCTCATTAGACAAAACTATGATTACCACAATTTGTATACGATCTCATAGTCATAAGAAAAATTATGTATTTCTCGTTAAACAACACGTTCATGTAATATTCTCATTTCCACAATATAAATATTTTACAACACGTTCATGTAATATTCTCATTTCCACAATATAAATATTTTTTCTGAGTTTGATTTTGAAATATTTGCAGATTTCTTTGGTCACATGTGCATAAAACAAATGTTTATCTATTCTTAAAAGCCCACCAAAGCTTGTGCTTGAACTTGATTTTGGCAAATGAGCACAAGCCCAAGAAAGCTCTTACTTCACATGGCTCAACTCATTTGCAACCCTAATTATTCCCAAAGACAAGATTCCACATTCTCTTTTCTAAATTACTCTTTTCTATCATTGCATAGACAATTAGCCATAGAATCATGTTCTCATGTTTGGTTAAGGAAGGTCGCTCATTACTTTAGCCCTATTTCAAACTTGTGAATCCACTTCATAAAAATTTATATCAGTATTTTCTACCCACGAAAAATCATCAACAAGCCCAATAGTAAAATGCAAGTATGTGTGGAGAGAAAATCAAGGGACATCCTATGTTACACTAAAATTAGAAATAAGAACAAAAAATATGGACATGAATGAAAAGCCAAAAAGATCAACTTCTAGCTCAAAAAATTTAAAATTAGTTCTAATTTATCTGAATTTTTTAAAAATTCGGAATCAAGTAAATTTCGACTATAACTTTCTCCAAATAACTCTTTCCCCTCAAAGCTAATGTTGCCAGTACGAAACCCATAGTTAAAAAGCTTAGGGTGGCTTAGCAACTGATTGAATGATAAAGTTAAACAATGAAAATAATTATAATTTCATAATTAAGTTTTATGATTGATCCATCTGGTTTTCTGAATTTTACAACTAAAACCAATTATTTTAACTAATTTGTAAACCAAATTATCCAAACGGATCAAATACCTACCCCTATTTGAATAGAAGAAAATAAAACATGATTTACTAATAATAGCTCACAAAGACAAAAAAACATTTAATTATGGACATTATATTCATGGATTCCAAAATAGGTACCTTGAAAATGGAACACCAAAGGGACAAATCCCTAGATGCATGATAGGGATTAAAAAGAGAAACAAATTGAATTGATCCCCTAATTTTTTCTGTAGGATTAAAATAGTCCCTGGTTATATAATAGTACTAATTTGATCTCTTGACTCTTAAAATAGGGACCAAATTAGTCCTGTGTAGGATCATCTTGATTCCTATTTAAGAAGTCATAGGTCTACAAAGAGATTTTTAAATAATCGGAGATCATTTTGGTCCTTCATAATAAGTCAGGGGATCATTTTGATTCTTATCTTGAATAAAAACATGCAATGACTATGAAGATGACTAGAGATAACAACATAACCTTGCTATTAAAATGCATCTAAATCCTGGAAAATAGAAAAAAACATGGAAGCATGGCCAAACCTGGTCCAAGATTCAGAGCTGTATCTGCCAGCAGATGCAGAGCATAAAGATCAGGCATGTCATCTGTAGAGGATAAACAAGGCAAAAAAATCTTCTAGTCAAGTTACATTCATCAAAAAAATTAAACAGAAGCAGAAAGAAATGTGAAACACAACTAAAACAAACCAAAATGATAACATTTTGGAATCTATGAATGAAAGACCTTTCACAGTAACGATCATCAGGATTGCAGATCTATGAAGTGGCTCCAATTAGAAATTTACTCAAAGAATTATCCAATACCATTTACTAATTATAATTAATAATTGATTGCACAAACTTTGCCTCCCAACTGGCAATTTCTTGGCAGCCGAATGGAAAATAGCAGTCTTCAGGTTCTGTACTGGTAGAGATCTACCTTTAAAATTTTCTCACCAACTTCTAGTCCTATCTAAACATCTTCCCATGTTCAATTGCATATTTGGTGGCCAAGCAAGTTTATTTAAATTTATTTCCGCATATTGTCTTTCATCAGAACTCTCTAAAACAAAGTGTAGTAGCAAATATTTCACTTTACTAAGTGTTCATTAATTCACCATATTCATTGCGGTGCTACTACAGTACTATATAACTATTTTTCTTGACTAGGCACAAATTCCGCACAAAATATCAAGTCATGTGAGATAAATGCTATATTCCCTGACTATTTCTATGATAGAAAAAGGTATCACATCACAAATCTTTTTAGGTACATATCAAATTAAAAACATAAGATGATTTTCAAATATATTAGCATCTAAGTTCAACCTCTAGGCCATCATTTTAATTGTAATTTGAATCCCTACAAATTTCCCCATGCTATCCTCAATAATTCATTTGCACCCCAGCTGATTAACAAATTTCAAAATAATAAAAGCAGGCAACCATGTGCCTCTGTCCTAGGGGTGCAAACGAGTCGAGTCGAGCTCGAGTCAAGAGGTGTTCGAGTCGAGCTCAATTGTCAAATACCGAGCTCGAGCTCGAGCTCGAACTCGAGTCAAGCTCAAAAGTTGAGCTCGAGCTCGACTCGTTCAACTTTAAACAAGTTCGAGCCGCTCGTCGAGCTCGTCGAGCCTCCCATATGGTCCGATTCTCCTTCTGAAATATGAACTTGGCGAGCCTCCGGCGTTCTTTTAAAAATGCAGCGAGAAGAGAGAGAGAGAGAGAGAGAGAGAGAGAGAGAGAGAGTGG